CCTTCTAATGTGGGTCAGAGAGACTGGGATATCTCATTCCAATAACATAAAAATCAGAATTAAAAAGAAAACACAATGGAGCCCTCTCATCTCGTCAATGAGACTCACCGGGAGAAAGCTCATCCGGGTGATCAAGGACCACAGACACCGGTGGAAAACTTCAGAGAAGAGGGGACGTTGTTAGAGCACAAATAGAGTCACTTGTACTTGTCCTTTCAAAAAGAAAGCCAAGGAGAAAAATAGGTAATAAGCTGAGCGACTTGATGCCCACAATCAACAAGGGAACCTCACGGTGTGTGCGCTGTAGCTAAAGAAGGGGCCACCCATTTGATTTACTAGTTCACCACCACCGCAGAAAAGTCCTCCTCTCCCACCCCTGCCCCAACTACAGAACTCTAAGCTCCTTACGTGCAGAAAACACACAACTCTGACCCAACTTTGTGTTGTCTGCCCCTACTACTGGGTCGGGTCCAGAGTCAGGATCAAGAGATGTTTTTTCGGTGAACAGCTATAAAGACACAGCCACGCCCTTGGATGACAGACGGTGGCATGTTGCTAAAGGTGAGTGGTGAACCCCAAGCATTCCAGACTTCCAAGACAGACTGTGTCAGAGCGCGGCTGTCCCAGCTGGACGGGCTGCCGCCAGGAAGGGCGCTCTCCAACGCAGCACGTGAGGCCGGTTACCGGGCTGCTTACCCTTGCCTCTGGATCCCCACACCTGAGGAGAATGAGAAGCCAAGAGCCCCCGGCTGATGGTGGTACCTCCTGTGGCCCATTCTCTGAAGGCTCACGGGTGAACAGAGGTGGGCCGGGTCAGAGGGGTGGGCCTCTGATTGGGCCTGAGGGCCCACAGGCCATCCAATGATCTTGAGAGTTACCTAACCAGCCCTTAGAGGCTCCTGACTCACCCCTGCACTGCTCTGTGTCTCTCTCCACACTCCGCCTTCTGGCAGGAGCTCTGCTGGCCCTTTTCCTCAGCAAATCTTCAGCATTTGGCTTCTCCCTCCGAGTCTGTCCATCCAAGAGGATGGAGGGGTCCAGAGGCATCCTTTCTGAGGCCTGGATGGGGCTACCGGGAGAAGGTAAGTGAAGGAGAGAAATGATCATTTCCTTTCTTCTACACTAGCCCTGAGAGCAGGGTAAAAGAGGTGACGTTGGCCAACAAGCATTGTACTCAGGGTCTGACTTGTTGAACTGGAACCTTTGTACTGCTAAAGATGAGAATAGCGCAATAACAGATCAAACTGGGCGGAGACTGACAAAAGTGAGTGGTGGGGCTGGGAAGGTGGCTCAGTGGTAGAGCGCTTGCCTCGCATGCATGAGGCCCTGGGTTCGATTCCTCAGCACCACATAAGCAGAAAAAGCCGGAAGTGGCGCTGTGGCTCAAGTGGTAGAGCGCTAGCCTTGAGCTGAAGAGCTGAGGGACAGTGCCCAGGCCCAGAGTTCAGGCCCCACGACCGGATCAAAAAAAAAAAAAAAGTGAGTGGGGTCTGTCTGAGAGGCGTCATCTCCACGCAAGACAGGGGCGAGACCAGCTCATAGCTGCCTGTTTCTGCTCACGGATTCAGGAATGTGCAAGGAAGGGGTGGGAAGAACTCTCCGGCCTCAGTAACTGTGGTGTGAAGCAGGTCGGCTGGAGTCCTCCAGAGACTCAAAGTCTGCGCCTGCTCCTTTACTCTTAAGGTTCAAACTCTCTGTCTCCCCCTCCCTCCCAATCAAAACCAAGCCACCAGGGTCTGTGGATGAGCTAGAGGCCCCCTGCGTGGTACCAGCCCTGTGGGAGTCTGTGTGAGAGGTGGGAGCCACCCTCGCCGCTCTTCCTGGGTTGAGGATGGACCTGCCTGTGCTGCCTTGTGTCAGTGCCAGTTAGCGCTGGCTCGGTCTTGTTAAGATGGCTCAAATGTGGCCGGGTGTGGCCGCGTTCAGGCCTGCCCGCGGTGGTCTCTCCCCGCTCCTCCTCAGGGCCAGTCTTCCCGCAGGGCGCCCTCTCTCCTTTTCCACCTCCACTTCCCTCCCGAATTTGCTTGCCGGGGCTTGGATTGCTCCAGTGGCTAAATAGGGGCTTAAAACAAGCACGTGTGATGGGAATTACCAAAAGGCGTGACTCGTTGGGTCCGAGACCTCAGGTGAGGGCTGTTTGTTGGGTAGGGTCTTTCCCCCACTGAGTACCACCTCAGCAATGGGGTGGGGACCGCGGCCGCTCTGTCTGGCCCTCAGGAAGGATGGCCACCTGGGGATGCGCAGATGGGCCTCTCTCCTCTGCCCCACTCCCCCCCCCCCCGCAGCCCCACTGGAGTCTGCAGCCATGCATGGCCCAAAGATGAATTTGAGCGTCTGGAAAAGTAGCCACCCGAGGAGAATGCAGAGCTCAGCCCCGTTCTCCAGGGACAGGCGTTCCCTGTGGCTCCCCAAACCTGCCGGGTTGAAAAGTCAGCCCTCAGGACAATGCGCCTGCTCGGTCTTCCCTGTCGTAATGCCTTTACGAGATCGAGGCCGCGGGGTGCAGGTCTGCAGGTCTCTCTGGCACCACCTGGGCCTGTGGGATGGACACGTTTCTGGCCACTGTATGCAAGGTGTTTGTCTTTCTATCACCGCCATGTGCTTTCTTCCGTCTTGTAGGACCAGCTTTTCTATCACTAACAGAACCTAGCTGGTGACCGTGCCTAGGGAGGTTGCCTCCAGGTGCATACATATATAAGGGGGAATGCAGTCTACGTAAAATTAAAAAAATAAGAAAAGCACTCTGCAATAGCCAGTGGATCCTGTTTCTAAGGCATGGAGCTCCCCTCCTCATTTTACTGCTTGAACTCGGCACAGACTCCGCTACTGTGAGCTGTGCCCTGAGGGCTTGAAAAGGCTTTCATTCATCTTTGTGTGGCTGATTAACTTCCAGGCAAATCTCTTATCTTGCTCTTCAAAGGTCTTGTACTTGTGTGTGTGAACACCTTTAGGGAGGTCCATTGTTGTTAATAAGTAAAAGTTTGGTCACTGGTTTTCGTAACTGTTTCAAAGTAAAGGAAAGAAAGGGGGTGGTTCTAAACTCAGAAGGATTCTTAAAATTTGGATATTTAGACAAATGATTATAATCTGTTTCATTGTAATTTAATTATTTTACAATGTATGAGTCATAACAAACGCGTTGGTTGGTTCGGTTGGTTGTAAATTAAAAGCTTGTCCAAAGGTTTTTCTAAGGTCAAGGTGAATACATTGGAGTGAAAGGAACATCCAAATCTCTGTGAAAATCAAGCGATTTTGAGAAGGTGGTTTCTACTCTTGGTAACATTTACAAATAATTGGCTTAAAATATGATTTATCAAAGTAATTGCGTAGTATTGATCTCAGGACTTAACTAAGTCAAGTTTATCTAAATGTCAGTCTTTTGAATGGCCATCTTATAACTAACTATGACTAAGTACCTACAGCCACCATACCTTGTTGCGTGCTCCTTTGTATGCTAGGTATATGTGCCTAAGGGAACTTAAGGCTTCTTGGTGTGCATGTGTGTGCACACACATGCATGCACACACACATATGTGCCAGTCTTGGGGCTTTAACCCCAGGCCCGGACACTGTCCCTGAGCTTTTGTGCTCAAGGTTAGGTCTCTACCATACCTTTTGGTGGTTAATTGGAAAAAAGAGACTCATTAACTTCTCTGCCCTGGTTAGCTTCAAACTATGATCATCAGATCTCAGCCTCCTGAGTAGCTAGGATGACAGATTCTGTGGTTTTGTTTTTAAACACAAAGCTTAAATAACTTTGCCAAATGTATGTCCTCTTACAGTCATTAATAGCATCAACCTTCAAGGCTGGCTAGGTGTATGGGGTCATAATTATAATACTCACAAAGCTTAGTTCAGAAAGGCCTGAGCCGTGAGTGCTGCCTTCATATTTGATTGTTTCAGACCCTGCTCACGTCCCTGCTCCCAGAATGTTTTGCAGACAGTACCAACACAGTGCAGTAAAGAAAATGCAAGGCTTTTTTATTTTTATTTTTTGCCTCTTTCCAAGGACGTCCTAGCCTTTGCTTCACTCAAACCAAGTTTACAAAGAAATAGAGGTTAAAAACTCTGTCCCAAAGCCAGGCCTAGTGGTACCTGCCTATGATCCCAGCATTCATGAAGCTGAGGCTGGAGGATCCTGAGTTCATCCACAGCCAGGGCTAGTGAGACAATGTCTCAAAAACAAACACAAAGGGTAGGGGGTGTGGCTCAAGTGACCACTCACTGGCCTGAGCTCAAGGCTCTGAGTTCAAAACACACAACTGCTAAGTCCGAAGAGGTAAGGATAAGCGAACTTTAAATACTCTTGGACCTTCTCATCATGTGGATTTTCTTCCATCCTAAAACCTCTTTGTGTCAGCCATAGCAGCTGATCCCAGAGAACTGCCCCACCCATTTGTGTGTCTAGCCTTCTACTCACAATCTACTCTCAAGGAACCAAATGTATTTCTAGTTCTGTCCCAAAACAAACATCAGAATTTAGTATTGTGGCTGGATGTGGTGGTGTGTACCTACCTCTAATCTCAGCACTGAGGAGGGTAAGCACCAAGGAGGATGGAGCTGAGGTACAGAGCACATTCAAGGCCAGTCTGAGCAACATGGCAAGATTAAAAAAAGCCAAGGGCTATCGAAGTAAGGCAGTGGTAGCGCACTTCTCTACTCTGCCTGAGTCCCTGGGGTCTGATCCTCAGAACACACACACGTGCACACATACACAAAAGTGTCATTATGCTCATGGAATTTCATTATGCTCAGGATGTCACACACCTGTCCCCTCATGTACGTAATGTACGTATCCCCTCTCCAAAAACAAAAACAAAAACAAAAACGAGAGAGACTTTTGTAGGTTGCAAGTCCTGTCTGGTTTATTTATAAAGCAATAAATATGGTAAGCACGAACAATTTGCACGTGTGTAAACAAACTGTACAATGATTGAGAGATGGGGGGTGGCTTGAAGCTGACTCATCATCCTGGACAGAAGGCAGACTGAGAGGGAGCTTTAGAAGCACTTGCGGTGGACGATGGAGGGGCCCGCCTCGTCGTACTCCTGCTTGCTGATCCACATCTGCTGGAAGGTGGACAGGGAGGCCAGGATGGAGCCGCCAATCCACACGGAGTACTTGCGCTCGGGGGGAGCGATGATCTGCAGAAGGAAAACAAGAGTGAATTCTCCCTGCCAAGGAACCAGGCGCTTACTGGAAGCTTCATACCATCAGGACGGCCAATCAAGAGCTGCGAACTGTCTTCTAGAATTCCCCCACTTTTCTCAATTAGCGTGTAAAATATCAACTTGCTGGAAGGCCGGGGAAAGTTAGGGGTGTCTAATAGTTTCCCATCCCCCGCCGCCTACACACATATCCATTCTTATTCGCTGTTTGAAAGTATCTTAAAACTCTCAAGGTAAAAAAAAAAAATTCAAAATTATTGTAGAAAAGCTAGGCAGTAGGGTGGGATGGCCAGGCAACTGCTGTGAGGGGAGTGGAGGGCGGGGAGGCGCTCTACCTTGATCTTCATGGTGCTGGGGGCCAGCGCAGTGATCTCCTTCTGCATGCGGTCGGCGATGCCGGGATACATGGTGGTACCCCCAGACAGCACGTTGTTGGCGTACAGGTCCTTGCGGATGTCAATGTCGCATTTCATGATGCTGTTGTACGTCGTCTCGTGGATGCCGGCCGACTCCATGCCTGGAAGCGAGATTTTAAACATTGGCCTGTTCAGGCCAGGGTGGAAGGAAGAGACAGGATTCTTCTAAATTGGTGAGCTGCCACCATTTGTCTGGAAAACATATGGCCATCATAAGGTACCCCACAGCAAACAGGAGGGAGCAGGTGTCTCTTAAAAAGTGCTGACAGACAATCCACCCACAACTGCCGAGAAACAGACAACTGTGCTGGGCACCTGTTTGCAGCAGACCTGCAACCATCCGATGTGTGTGTTTTAAATTTATGGCCTCATATCAAGAGGCAAGCTTCTAAAATTACTTAGGAAACTTAAAGGAAAGCCCAGCTTCTTGCTAATGGCACTAGAGGAGGAGAGGCCGCTGGCTTCCTGCATGTGTGAGATTCAGTTGCTGCCAAACAGCCTCTTTTGCTGGGAGATGAATTCAGCATGCCCTAGATTATAGTGCTACAGCACAAGGCTTTCTGTCTAATGACCCGTGGGGACTTGAGGCCGAGCCGTGGGGGGCTCCATGCTGTAACTGACTCACTCCTAATTATGGACTTCACTCTGCAAGACCCCGAGATTTCCAGGGAAAGCTGGAACTCACCAATGAAGGAGGGCTGGAAGAGCGTCTCAGGGCAGCGGAAGCGCTCGTTGCCAATAGTGATGACTTGACCGTCGGGCAGCTCGTAGCTCTTCTCCAGGGAGGAGGAGGAGGCGGCTGTGGCCATCTCATTCTCAAAATCCAGGGCCACGTAGCACAGCTTCTCCTTGATGTCACGGACGATCTCACGTTCAGCTGCGGAAATACAGGACGGTCAAGCTCCCAAGATGGAAGTCAGTTGTGGGGAAGGAGACAGACACACAGACACACACTCGCTCACCAGTGGTGACAAAGGAGTAGCCGCGTTCGGTGAGGATCTTCATGAGGTAGTCAGTGAGATCCCGCCCGGCCAAGTCCAGACGCATGATGGCGTGGGGCAGAGCGTAGCCCTCATAGATGGGGACATTGTGAGTCACACCGTCCCCAGAGTCCAGAACAATGCCTGTGAGGGGAAGGTGGCCAGAGCAGGGTCAGGCCTGGGGACCACTGCTCTGCCCAGCCACAATCTTGCTCCAGGTCTTGGCTGAGAGAGAGACTGGGAATGGGTCCAGACAAAATGATCTCCATTACACGCAAGAACAAGAAGGCCTGTAATTCGTGGATACGTTAATCTGAAGGCAATGGCAGTTCATCTCTTTTAAAGCCACTGTAGAAACGTTTCCCAAGGAGACGTTCAAATGACCATTTCTCTTACCAGCCATTAGCCCGTCATGGAAGCATCCGGGCATGTTTTTTCCCCTCTAACTGGCGGGTGGTTAGGATGCAGGCCCTGTAAACACGTGTGTGCTTCTCTGACATGCGTGCGATGGTATGCACACACTGGGCACTGCGCCATGGTCTCCGCCTCCGTGCGGCACCCTGCACCTTAAATAAGGGGAAGCTCCAACTCCGCAGGCTCCGAGCCGCCGACACCTCTCCCCCTCCGCTCTCCACGTTGGAACGTGACCCCAGGGCCCAGCCCGTGACCCGTGACCTGTGACCTGAGGATGCGACCGGCCTGGGCTCACCTGTGGTGCGGCCCGAGGCGTACAGCGACAGCACGGCCTGGATGGCCACGTACATGGCGGGCACGTTGAAGGTCTCGAACATGATCTGGGTCATCTTCTCGCGGTTGGCCTTGGGGTTCAGCGGGGCCTCGGTGAGCAGCGTCGGGTGCTCCTC